TAGTAGTTAGTAGCTAGTAGTTAGTAGCTAGTAGTAGTAGTAGTAGTAGTAGTAGTAGTAGTAGTAGTAGCTATAGTAGCTATAGTAGCTATAGTAGCTATAGTAGCTATAGTAGCTATAGTAGCTATAGTAGCTATAGTAGCTATAGTAGCTATAGTAGCTATAGTAGCTATAGTAGCTATAGTAGCTATCGTAGCTATCGTAGCTATCGTAGCTATAGTAGTAGTAGTAGTAGTAGTAGTAGTAGTAGTAGTACTGCTGCTGTTGCTGGTGGTGCTGGTGAAGCTGGTGGTGCTGGTGGTCCTGCTGCTGGCGCTGGCTCTGGCGCTGGTGCTGGTGCTGCATGGTGCTAGTGCTGCTGCTGCTGGTCCTGGTGGTCGTGGCGGCGGCGGTGTTGGTTGCCGTTGCTGATGCGTTCGTACATGTCATCGGCTGCGAGTTTTGTGATGCAGGGAAGGAGCCGCCACCTCCTTTCATCCGACTTTTCTTGGTTGTCGTAGTATATTTCGGGGTGTGCTTGTCGCCCGTGTGTCTCGGTAGCTCAGGCGATGAGTGGTCCCCGACAAGCCATGGGTGCACGAGCTGGCAGGACCAGGCACAGGCTGTGATTGCAACGTTGGCTAGCATGACCGAGGCCCTAACCCTGGACCCTAATTGCTAGACATGCTTCTTCACCTTCAGACTTCAAGTCTTACGCAGGAGGCAAGGTCTTGCGTACTGGCGACTTTTCCTGAGTTCTCACAAGCCCAGTACACCCGCTACAGATCCGACTCTGGAGCGTTAGCTGTGCTGGGTAGTTCGACCCACTACGTGTAGTACAGCCTTCCACGGCTGCTCCGCACAGAGTGTCTGGGTTTCTAGGGCTTCGCATCTCCTGACGCTGGGGTTTATATTGCCTGCACGTGAGGCACAGGTGCCGTCGAAGTCTTGCAGAGTATATCCTATATATATATATATATACATATATATATATATATATATCAAGAACGACAGACACAGCCACAACGATACAGCCCACGACATTTCCAAGACATTTAAGCCCTGGCAGCTTTGTTAGGGGCTCTTCTACAAATTAACCCGAAACCGCAGACTCTTTCCCCGAGTTTAACACAAATCTTCTTTAGAGCAAACACCTTATAAGACCATGCGCCGAGGAAACTCCAGGTCTTTAAGCCCCAAACACCCCGAACCTTAAATATACCGGTGCTTATGGTTAGCAAGAATATGTCCCCATAGCAATACTCCCTCATTGCCCGCCATAACTGATGAGCATGGTACGCTGGTACACCGCACCCCAAAACCCTGTCATTGCTACAGTCATGCAGGCCCGGTAGGTAGAAACCCTGTAGAGCCTTCTAAAGTTTAGTAGAATCCCATAACGCTACAGATATTAAATCATTACGGAAGCATTTTTCGGAACCCTGCTGCTCCGGCGACGTTGCAAAGCCCTAAATACTGAGACTGAAGCCCTCAGCCCAAAACCCTGAACCGTGCGAAAGGGGAGGTGGAGTCACTGGAGTTGGTCTGATTGGCCCGGGCCTGAGCCATCAGAATTTTGGAGATAAGGGTTTGGGGCTTAAGGTTTATTGATAAGGGTGTAGGGCGTAAGGGGGTTTACGGTTGTAGAGTTGAGGTTTGTAAGATTTTGGGGTGCAGGATTTTCGGTATCGGGTTCAAGGGTTCAGTGTTCCTGGGTTTGGGGTATGGTAAGCTTCAGGGGTATGAGTTCTGTCCACATAGACTTGAACACAAGCCGGATTATTGTATTGTGCTGCGGCTTTAATACTACTGCCTGGCATTTAGGGGTTTGGAGCGTGATAACTAGTTTGAGGGCTGATGTTTCCTCCGTTGCATTGTGCCTTGTAAATGAGTTGGCTGGATGCGATCGCCCTAACTCCTAGCTTAAGGCTGAAGCCCTTCTGAACCTTGCAGTACCGTGCTAAACCCCTTAACCCTAAACCGTTCTATACCCCAATAAACCCTACTAAGCCCCAAACCCGAATCAGGCACCCATCACGCCGAACACCCACTAAATCCTTGCCTTCGTCCTATAACCTTTACGCCTCGCGGGGTTTAAGGGCTCGGGACAGGACGCTGCTAGGGAAAGATGCCAGGCAGCGCTGCGGGCCTCCTTGGAGGGCCGGGAGCTTGAGGCTTAGGGCCGTTTAGGGTTCAGAGTTTAGGGTTTAGGGTTTAGGGTTCAGGGTTTACGGTTTAGGGTTTAGGGCTTCAGGATAAAACTTTCAATCCTAAGATCCTCAGCTCTAAATCCCTCAACCCTTAAAGCCCTA